AAAAAAAATTGTAAATTAACTTTGCATAACAAAAAAAAAAGGAAATGAGGAAAAGACCTCACTTAAAAAAAAAAAAAAAAAAAAAAAAAAACAATAGAACATTAAAACAATAGAACACTAAATAATAGAACACTAAATCACTAAAACACTAGAGCACTAAAGCATTAAAACTAAAACACAAACAATAGAACGCTAAAACACTAAGACACGAATTGAGTTTATTACCATATTGGGAAATATGTTTAAAGCAACTTTTTAGATGCATTTATAGTTATTATTGTTATAGAAATCAAGAACACAACTTATACACTATGTAGATCTACCATATTAGAAAACCAGAACGTTAAAACACTAAAATACTAGAACATTAAAACACTAAAACTCCAAAACACTAGAGCATTAAAACACTAAATCACTAAATCACAAAACATGTCATTTTGTGTACCTACGGTACACCATACAGAATCAAAATTTAAATTCTATCGAAATAAATTCTATTAAAAGAGTTTATCAAATAGATAAAAATATTACAGGTTTTTATTCTGCATTATTCACATATATAGCATATAAAGAATTTCCGTACATACTGTACGTACGTATGTGAAATAAATTATCCGGAGGCGCACGTAATTCTGGAAAAGGAAGTCCGTGCAATTATCATGAAAATTCGATGATTATTGTCATGCATTGATAAAATTTCTTAATTAGGCAAATGATTGAAAAGTTAACTTTAACGGAAAAACCTGATAATGCGCCAATACGTATCATGCATAACATGATCTGTATTTCCGACACCTATAGAAAAAAGATGTATAGGATTATACAGTATAATCCCATTGTTGTGGATGCCGCAATACACAAATTATAAAAATTTATATAACAAATTAAGTAAAATATAATCTAAAAAAACTCTGTTTAGTATAGATCATGCGGATCAGGGCCGAAACACTCGCAGTATTGCAATTTCCGGCCGTCCTAATTTTTTACTGTCAACTATAAGCAAAAAAAAAGTATAATAAGGCTACGGAATTCCTTACAGACAACAATTTTCTCAAACAATAATTCTAATTTTTAAACCTAAATTTTTAAAACTAAATTTCCACAATGATCCAAAATAAAACTATTACCTTTGCGACACTTAATGTTCAAGGAATTAACGATGAACAAAAATGTCAGATTATACTATCACATTTGTCCAGTAATCCCAAATTTGATCTAATTCTCCTTCAGGAAACCAATTTAAGAAAACAGAATATCGATTATATAAAGGAAAAACCATTATGGGAATACGAATCGGAATGGACATCAAAAACTGCAATATTAGCTGGCAAGAAGAATATCATTTTTGAAAATTTTGAAGAAATTGAATACGGATGTAGAACTAGCTTCAAGTACAATAATTGGACTTTCCAAGTAACTAACATATGCGTCCCTTCTAACCTTGCTAATAGAAAGGATTTTTTAAATAAATGGACCCCATCTAAACGAGATGATGTTGTCAATATCATAGTCGGCAACTTTAACTTAGTCACCCTTAGTCCCACCAGAAAGAAATTTAATCAAACAATGTCAAAATTTTCAAATACTGAAGATATGGTAGGAAAGAGTTCATTCCATTATTTTTATTCGGATGAGCATACCAACCAAACAAAAAGGGATTATATTTTTATTGATACCGACAATGCTCAATTTTGTCGAAAGACGGAATCTCACTTCAACTTATTTGACCAACCGCTAGTAGAATGTACTCTCGAATTGTCGACTTGGAGATTGAATGAACAATTACTTGAAGTTTCCAGTATTAAGAAAGAAATTCAACAAAAGCTAACCAGCATAAGTAAAGTTACAGCTTCGGAGTGGAATAAAATTAAGATGTATATCCAATCCATATTTCGCACACACCCGGATCCCAAAAAAAATAAGCGAAAAAAAATTAAATATAAAAACAAGAAACTCGATTCTTAATAAATTATTATCAGATCTCGATGCTGATTTAACTCACTTGAACCCTGAAATAAGGGAAGAATTAATTAAAGATGGATGGATAAAAGGCAATGAAAGATCAACCTTAAAAATACGTGACCCATCATCCTCTTCAGAAAACCCTGCTGATATTTTGATATACATAAAAAATTATTATAAAAAATTATTTGAAAAAAAATCCAATGACTTTTCTGTTGCGAATATAATAACAAACGACTTACCAAGAGTTACGCAAGGTCAAAATCAATTATTGACAAAGGAAATTACTGTTGAGGAAATTTCTGAAGCAATCAACAATTTAAAAGCCGGGAAAGCACCTGGAATTGATGGGTTAACCCATGAATTTTATAAATGTTTTCAAAATGAACTTATTCCTATTTTGAAACAAGTTTTTAATGAAATTTTAAGTACCTGCGAGTTTCCATCTTCATGGTGTAGAAGCATTATAAATTTAGTTCAAAAAAAATCTGAAGGCCTAAATAATATTAATAACTGGAGACCGATAGCTGTCGTAAACAGCGATGCAAAAATTTTTATGAAAATAATGTCGTGCAGACTAAACAAAATATGTAAAGATGTAATAGGAAACTATCAACATGGCTATATCGCTGGTAGATCATCATATGATGCGGCTTTAGATGTAATCTTCACCATGAGACACCAACATAATGAGACTAAGCAAGCTTGGTTACTTTTTATTGACCAGTCAAAAGCATATGACAGAGTCAATCATGACTTTCTTTTATTAATATTTAAAAAAATGAATTTTGATCAATCTTTTATAAAATTGTTTAAAAGCCTTTTTTATAAACAAACTGCACATATATCCGATAATAATATCCTTTCAACATCCTTTAAAATAAGGAGCGGTGTTAGGCAAGGAGATCCGATCTCCTCTTTATTATATCTTTTGGCGTTTGAGCCATTTTTAAGATTATTAAATCAAAATTTGACCGGTGTGCCAATATCTGACTTTAAATTTAAAGTTTCAGCCTATGCAGATGACCTAACTATTGGATTAGGCTCTCGCGATGACTGGAACACATATTCCCGGCTACTAGAACAATATAAAGCTGCTTCTAATGCAGAAGTAAATGAAGATAAATCTGTACTTATATCGCTAACAAATGAAGCATTGAATTCGATGCTGCCAGATGATAAATACCCTGAGTTCGAAGAAAATCAAACAAATAGAATCTTGGGATTCTATGTTGATAAAAAAGGACAAAATGCAAAGGATTTATGGCAAAAAAAAATTAAGGATATTGAAGAAGCTATACATAAAGTAGATAAAATAAACAATAGTACAAACAAAAATAAACTTTCATCTGAAGGTAGAAAACAAATTGTAAGGACTTTCTTGTCAAAAATTTGGCATGCATCTTATCTTCAACCTCCCACTGAAAGAGAAATTAAAACATTAAGTAACATTATAGCACAATGGATTAATGATAGATGCTTGTCGAGAAATGATTTATTTAATCAGCTTAAAGACATGCTTGATGCAAGATTAGGAATAATTTGGATAAAACTACTATCCAGTGACTGTTTGTGGGCAAAAGAAGAGAGGAAATCTATTGAAAGAATTTTATTTCAAAAAATATCCATATCAGCGGCAATTAATTCTCAACGAATCAATTCTGATGTATGGCCTTCAAAATGGAGACCGTATTTTATAGCTTGGAAAAGATTAAATGGGAAAGTTCCATTAGACGGTTCTTGGCCGTGGAATCAAAATTTAATCGAGATAGCAGGCATCAAAGCAGATGAATATTCAGTAATGTTTGCAGTCGAATATTTAGAAAAAATTCGAAAACGTTCACGACTTTCCAAACGTCCCAATTGTAGAAATTTTAATTAAATGGCTTATTGGTGTGATATTGTTTGATGAGAAGAAACATAATATGGAATCTTATCTTTTTTAGTTCACATTTAGTATTAAATATCTACAATTAAAGAATTTCTTTGCTTGTACAATTGGTATAGTTTTAAATTTATTATTATTTCTTTTAAATATATATAAATATTATTATTATATTTCTTTTAAATATATAAATACGTATTATTATTTCTTTTAAATATTTATATAAATATTATTATATTTCTTTTAAATAAATAAATAAATATGTATATTAAATTCAATAAGTTTTAACGGAAAACTAGCATCATTGTTATGAATTGTGCGCATTCAATGCGCAAGATTTTGTCATTTTTTGGGCAGAACGATGAATACTTGTTTTTATACATTTTTGACTACAAGTTTATCTTTGAATTTATTAGCTTACTAAAGTTAATTACGACTAGTAAATTTGGTGATAGCGAAAATTCAGAAATTGGTAAATCCATACCTAATACAATCATTAAACGGAGTTATGCGTGCGTAGCTGTGCAACATAAATTTCATCGGACTTTTAGGAAATGCTATGCTGAGCCAAACAGTGGGCGAAGTAGGGTTGGGGCACGGCTCATAGTCGGACATTCGTTTGATTGGCTGATGTAAAACAATTGCCCGGGTAACTTATTTATACACTTTAAAGTAGTTTTTGGGAACATAACGTTTCACTAATAAAAATCACTGTAAAAGTCATTTTTCACTTCGAAAGAATGTTTATATTCACTATACAAAATTAATCAAAAATTATTAGTAACCCCGAGAACTTTACTTAAAAGACAAAGTATGCCTACCGTTTATTAGACCATATTGTAGAGCGAAGGTAACTGGAAACGTTTTCATCTAAAGCTATTTTATTACGTTAGATTTAGATAAACTTTTACTTTTAACTGTTTAATTTGAATAGGCACAAGCTCTTAGTAGTAGAAGATCTGGGTTTAATATTTAAATTTGGGCGGTTATTGTAGTGCTTTTGGGCTTGTCATCCGTATATTAATAGTTGTAGTTTATGTATTGTATGTAGATCTTGTACGTAGATTCTTTAATGAGTTTGGGTTTATTAGTATTAAATATCACATTTACCTACTTTACACGTATCTATCTATTCTCTAAATATAAGTAATTTATTCTTTTGTGTATATTTATTAGTTTGTAGGCTTCTTTATTCGAAGTTTTATTTCGTTTTTTAGTACTGTAGTATTAAAAAATATGGAATAATTCGATGGCGTCCATTAGCTATTTGTCAGAAGTGAGTAGATAGGAGTGTAAACCACATGTATCGTATTTGTATCTTTCTATGATGTATTGTAGCCCTTTTGCCATAGTAATAAATCCCTTTTTTACAGAATATATGTCTATCTTACCGCCTGTTGTAGTTAAGAATGTATTACTTGATTCCTTGATGCTTTATATCATATCCAAAATCAGTCATGTCATGTGCCACCATAGCAAATCCGATGGCATCCATTTCATCAACGGTCAACATAGTGTGATGACCAAAAAGGACTGCGACTCGGTCGCTCCACAATCCAAAAACTCGTGTAACCTGGGTAATTAACCTTTCGAAAGAGGTGTGTTAGATTTGGCTGGTGGTGATTTAAGGCTTCGGTTACTTCTCTCGTTGACTCTAGG